AGACCTGCTAGAAATTTTTGGTAGACGCCTATCACCTTTTCAAATACTACTGACACTCCAAACTTTGAAATGGAACCTATCATATACGAATTCAGCAGTTCAAAATTCAAGAAGTATTTCGGTGATGACGCTTCATTTCGTACTGATTATATGCAAATTTCGCAACGTCTCCAATAATGCTTGATCCGCTTTTAAGCAGAAACTTATGCAAGAGAAGCCCACAGTATGCATCGGCATTGTTAGGGTTATATAGTATTTATTATGAAGGTTTTAGCCTCGTTAGTAAACTTCGTCGTCCCAACGAGAACGTAGATCCATATCAACATCCTTTTTCATGCATTCGCTTGATTTAATTATCAAGACTTCCTTGAACTTCAAGCTTAATAGATTTCTCTCTCAGAAAAGTATTCCTTTCATTTGGTCCCGTAAGATGTTTTGCAATGGAGGAGTTCTTTACACATTTATTCTTCACCATCTGCAGATCTATGGTTTGCCATCGCTCTTTCACTTTCTGCGCTCATTCATTCTGAAGTAGAGGGGACTTGCGTTGTTTCGTAAGATTGCTCAGATGTATGGTCTTCTCTCTTCTACGATGTCGCCCATTTTTCTCGTATACCTTGGACATGGCTCGGACTAAATCTAGCTTTATTGTTTGGATTTGGTTCAATGGTTTTGACACATATCAGCTGCTCCGTAATGTGTTTTGGATCTGACTATCAGTGATATTCACCGCTTTCGGCGGATTTCTTCAGCTTCTTGCTGAGATGTTGAATTAAATGTTACTGACAGTGATAAAAAATGGAGTTTATTTAAATTGGTTATTTCTTCGAGAGCATCTGAGATGATAACAAGGAACGGGTTAAATAAAAATTGCTACAAATAACGAATTCAGAAGTAGCATTGAGGAACAAGTGGTCGAAACCAAAGTGGTTTCTTTGTAACACCAGCCCTGTAGAATCGAAGAATACAATAATTACAAAATAAAATAGCATAATAGAATGAGCATGTTTATGCAGTCGTGTTAGCATCACTGAATCATCGCGTAGCATTCAAGAGAAGTGAATACGTTGATCGTCGACTGTACCAAGCCGACCATTGCTGGTGCCGGAAAACAGACTTTAAACGGTTGGTGACTACAGTAAATGCGAATGATCAACAACTAATGCGCCACTGCGAATTCATCACGTTGTGCATTTCGTCGACTGAAATACGAATTGTTTCGTCAGAGGGCGTCTATATGTGACGGTGGCAAAGGAGGGCCGGGGAGGCCGGGTGGCAAGCACGAGTGCGCCCTCGTATTGTCCCCTCCGCATCCGACTGTAGGCAACGTCGTGCGCATTGTGCGCGGACCGGCGCCGGTGCGATGGAGTAGTTTGGTCGTTGTGCTTTCGTTGTTGTTTTGTTCAATAATTTTTGTTTGTTTTCTGTTTTGTTTCATGTTGCTGCCATAAGCGATTTCCCGCAGAAAATGAGGGAGGGAGAACGTAGCCCTTGTTCTCACCTCCGCCCAGTGCATGCGCTGTTCTTGCGGGCGCGTGTGCCTGTGTGCTGGCGCGCCGACCGACGATGACAGTAGCGGGACGGGGCGGGGTGGAGAGGGGTGCCTCTCCTGCGTTGGAGTGCAGTGGCATATTTTCATTACATGGTCACTTGGTGGTCAGTGATGGACGACGTTTACACGATGGCGTGGCCGGGTGGCGAGCGGTGAACCTTTAGATGTCGTGTTCTCTTCGATTCGGTTCACCACAGACCGCAACCATCGCCAAATCGTCGTCGTCGCGTTATAAGACACCGTTTGTATGTTGGTGTCAGTGGTGGTAGTGTAACTTTGGCGTTTGTTTTACTTCTTGCCGCTCGGTAGATCTTCTCTCTCAAGATTTTTTCAGACACTCGTTCTCGTGTTCCTCTTCCGTGTGTACAAAGTTGCCTTGGCCGACGACGACAGCAACACGAACCCGAACCCGGACCAAGTCTCAGCACTATGAGCACCCTCAGTCTGTTCAGCTTCACCTCACCGGCCGTGAAGAAACTTCTCGGATGGAAACAGGGTATGTATGTTTTGGTTTTATTTCTTGTTCGCATTCGTGACTGTCTCTGCAGACGTCATTAATCTGGGTACTCTGTCCTTGATTCTTTGATACCCCAGATGACGATAACAGCAACAGTAGCAGCAACTGTCACTGACAGCGGTATACGTGAATAAATCTTCTGCGTCAGTCGAGAACCGGAAGCTCTGTCCTTCGACGATTCACATTTAGACAGCCACCACTGTGGGCAGTGTCCATCGTTTTGACAACGTGTGCTTGTCAGGTCGAATTGTCTGCGTAGTCAGTCGACTTTCTTTTTGCCTAAAACCATGTAAAAATGGCAAGACTGTTCTTGGGCTGTAAATCCGCCGAAACGACAAGAGATTGATATTTTGCCGGATATATCGAAAACTAGTAATTTGCTACTTAGCCCATAATATCGGCTTTAATATTTATTGTAAATGTGTCGACCTTTGTTCGATTTGACGAAGTGGTGCAATTTTACACTGGTGGCAAAATACCATGCACTCGTGGTGTGTTTAAACCGTACTTTAGGTTAATTAAAGCAAGGGACGGTTTTACTCCGGAAAAGTGACGGCACGAGATACTTCATTCTTTGTTTTTAACTAAATTCTAATTCGATGTTAATATTAAATTATTATTCGTTCTTTACTAACCTTCGCCGCTGTTTGCTGACTCGTCATCCTTTTTCTGGTTGTGAAAATAAATAAATATATGTGCTTTGTCGAAGCAGTTAATGACTAAAGCCGAAAGTTTCTGGAAGTCGCCTATATTTCGTCATTATGTTAGTACAATCTCCACTACCCAAAACCACTCACGTTGAGATAACAAAGATCCGATTGCATTTTTAATAGGAACTCTTCTTTGTTTCTATTGGTTAACATTCTGGTGAAGCAGTTTAACAGTTTATTTAAAGTACGTGCCGATTAAAAAACTGTAGTATTGTTCTCTTGTTACATATGAGTTCTTTCAAGCGGCCATTTGTGCTCAGTCCAGCCCTGATGATTTGATCCAACGGTCTCTGTAGCGAAACACGTTGGCAATAAAGATTTTACCATCTGCTTGTGTGTTTTTCGGCCTGGACGAATAATCGTTCACCCGGGGACATAAAGTCCTATTTGTATGTCAAAATAATCGCCTCTGTTCGACGCTGGGGGAGAGATTTGGTCATGTATCTTGTGCACTTGGGCGCTTGAATGCCATGGAGCCTTGGCC